GCAACTGCCAGCGGGGAGTGATTGGCTTGTATAGAGAATCGCCTCCTTTCAGGGGTTGTCGAGTCGGTTTCGTGTTACTCCATGCCATTGGGTCGTATGCTGAGTGCGACATCCTAATCTTCGTGTTTATTTCCAACGGCCGAACGTTATCCCAAAGATTGAGCCATCATTATCATCTTGCCCTTGTCGCGATGAGGCTACGATTTGGAATAGCTGTCGCCGTGCGTATTATATGTGACGTAGCAGCTTCTCAAGGACGTAAAGTCTAGGTCCACCAGAATAACGAGACATTTTATTCCAGCCCATTTTCTCTCCAGGCGGCCGACTTTTCTCTCAGTATGGCCTCACTGATCTCATCAACCCCGGGCAAAATTGAAGCCTCTACGGGTTTTGTGAACAAGCCCCCGCCACTGGGGACCTAGCGAGTCATGGGGCTAAGAGAATCAGTGATATTTGATTGGGTAGAGACCCTGCAGCCTTCGTCTAGGAAAACGAGCTTTGCTCCCTTGAAATCTATTTGGGGATATCCCGCCTACTGGCGTGGATTGTATCGGGCAAAGGCTGGCCCTCAATACGAAGGAACTCTTGAATTGCCTGCCTCTGTTTTCTTTGAACCGTGCCAGCCGTGCTTCAAGACCACGCTTCTCGTGGGATATTTCCTCTCGACTGCCCCCGAGTCATTGGCGAGGCGTCTGGTGATATACGGAGCCTACATTAGCAACATGTAGACGAAGCCACTTTTGTCCATAATCAGTCCCAGAAAAGATATACCGCATAGCCACTGAGGAATGCCAAGATACCATCATGGCACCGCCAAAGGACAAAGAACGAAAGAGAAAGTTTCATCGGAGAAGCAAAAACGGATGCACTCGATGCAAGGCCAGGCATGTGAGGTGCGACGAGCAAAAGCCGCTTTGGTATGTTAAACTTCCCGGTCTTACTCGTGGAACAATCGATACTTTCCCCTCGTTTCCTCGTCGTTGCTGCAAGGCTACGCGAGGCTCCGACGTGGGATAGACGAGCTTTGCATAAGGCTCCGGTCGGTTGAGTCGTAAGCCTTGTAGGACTGACTAACAAATATTGCCAACACAGCACCAATTGCCTTCAGACGGGGAGTGAATGCATATACCCGACTCCAGAACAACCGCTCCCATCCAATGATTCGTCGCCTTCACCATCATCGTCGTCCAGCAGTGTTGCTCTGGGGAGCTTTGGGTCCCAAATGGCACTTACCGAGTCAGCGGCACCGGCATCGCCAGGGATGAGCAATGCCCTCAACAACTACGTTGGAGGCTCCTTCGATGCTCTCCCAGAGCACTCCAAGCGCCTTCTGCGACATTGTGAGTCACTTTACTGTGAGAAATACTCGTCCCACAGGGCTAACGTTTTGCACCAGTTTCACAGTACACGGTTTGGGGCTCGAGACCTGTTGCTCGGGAGCTAGAATCTTCAGCGTGCGTCAACCCGGTAGTTGGGTCGACATGACCTGCTAAACACCTTGAACTGACAGCCTGCTAGTATACAAAAATCATTCGAGAACCCTGGCTACATGCACATGTGCCTCATGCTATCGGCATGTCAGTGGGCATGGGTTACCGGTTCGATGGACGAGGTCAGGATCCCATTCCTGTATCATAAAGCAGCAACCTATCAATTCGCGAGAGAACAACTCCAAAGTCCTGAATTGGCGCAGAGCGGAGACACTATGTTGGCTATATCTGCGCTTGCGCTGACTGAGGTATGGATACCCTTGGTTAATGATCCGACCCGCTAGTCGATCATCACTAACAATCTGTGATCCAGGGCGCGATAGGAGAACTGGACGCCTCCTCAAGACACTTGAAGGGTATACAATCCGCCGTGAAGGAGTGGAATAGGGTTGTCGATCCAGTACCGACGTTGCCCCAGAGAATGCTCAAGATGTTAGTTCTATTGAGGGGTCATAGTGCTAACAATGATGTTTGCTGACCTTTGTTCAGGGTTGGAGAAGGACTACGAACCGGAAAAGCAGGCCAGCTCGTGAACGTGCCCGAATACCAACCAACCTTTATGGCTCTCCTATTTGCGTCGATATGGGATATCACAGCACTGCCGCCACGCGAAGCTCCGAGATATGGCTGGTGGGAAGATCTCGAAACACCAGCGGCCAGACTTTGGCAAAATCATACCAGAGACCTCAACCTCAACTATGAGATTTCAAGAGGTTTCAGTGCGAGTCAATATGTACCACGGATCTTGAACGGCGACCCTAAAAGTAGCCGAACAAGTTTCATAGCGACCTTCTTCTATCTTTGTTCTGAGCTGGGCGACAGATACTTCGACGTAACCATGATCGACTGGCTCCTTGAACAACTCATAGACGATGTTAATGCAGGCGAAGAACATCTGAGGATGAGTGAATGGACACAGTCACTATGGTTATTTTGCGTACTGTTTGGAGCGTCCATAGCGTTCACTGGCCGGGCCAATAATGTAACCGAAGAAAGACAACTGAGCAAATGGCGAGGCGTTTACGGCGACAAAATGAAACTGGCCAGTCGAGAGCTGGGAATCAAAAGCTGGCAGTCGGCCCGGGCGATGCTGGCTGAGGTGGTGGGAGGGATAGACGGCGAATTAGAAAAGGGTCTAGAGGAGTTATGGAATGAGGGGATATCAGGAGAGACATCGGGCGAGAGCAGTGCAAGTCCAGCAGTGGTAGAGCTGTCAGAATCCGACTAAGCCATGGATGCCTCGTCACCTTGACTGAGTTGGCGTCTGACTGCTTGAAGATAGAGTGGGAGCAAGCCAGGTGATGCGTGGATGCGAGCTGTCACATATTTCTGGTGTTGGCATATCGTGGTTCAAGGCCAATGAGAGGGGTCGATGAAATACCCGGAAGATAGACATCGGTTGGGCTGACGGTAGAATGAGAGGACATCAACTCATAGAATACATAGAGTTTTCCCTGGAGGAAGAGATGAAATTTAGATAAGTTAGTAGGTAAGGTAGGTAGGTAGTGTTCAACAAGCGACTCAAAGAACCGCAGACGATAATAATGGAAAGCTGAAACGGTTACACCATCACGTGGAGTTGCGGGCCGCTTCCCGTTTTCTCCTTCCCTTCTATTGTTCCTTCTAGCAACTTTCCCAGGAAGGAAATACGGGGAATGGACGGGGTGGAGGGAAAGGAAGGCACGGAACGACGCTCCCGTTGAAGAAGGGAAGGAAGTACAGAGTACTCCGTACGGTATGGTAAACTCAAAATCGCGGGTGGCTCGGACTTATCAGGGTCCATCAATCAAACATCAACCACACATCGAGTCGAGATGATTTTGCCTGGACTTCCTCTCCTTTCTACCTATGCTCACCTTTGCCAGTGAGTATCGGCAGACGCCGGCCTGGTCAGTGTTTCCAGCGACAATGGTTCATCACCAACCATTTCCGGGACTGGGCCATCTTATGACTTGATTACTTGGGCTTGTCGTCTCACCATCTTTTCTCATTCTGTCATTGCGCCTCAGCCGCCTGATTTTGCATTTGCATGTGCATTTCACACACTCTTGACCGCAGTTGTGTGTCATATGCATGCCACGAGCGATTCGCTGGCCCATCCTGTAGCCCGCTCTCATCATTCTAAAGGGCGTCCAAGACCTGCTGAAAACAGACCAAGGCCTGCCCAGCCTGATGCGGTCTGCTACATGAGCAATCACAGGACGTAGATAAAGCACCTGGGTGATAAGCGGCATGCTCGGTGTGCCGTCTGTTGCATATAGGCTCACAGTATGTATCATGTGGCCTGGTTGGCAATGGTTGCTCTGTTTTATCCACCCATGCCGACTTGGCCGCAGCTTGAGAGTAAAGGAGGGTCACTTCTGACAATAGCGCAGCGGGCCGCGGCCACGAAGACATGGCCAAACTATGACAGGGACGAGAATGACAGAGTTTCTCGTTGACTCGCGAGTTGGGAATCCTCGAGGCTGTGGTGGAAGTGATCGTCAGGAGCCCGGCCCTGAGATACTTTGCGGTCCAATACGGAGGCTGCTGTATCCGACACTAGTTTTCATCCCAAGGACGAATGCCTCAATGATCATCCTCAGTAATTAATATCGCTCGCAACACAGGCGAGATGACCATATGGACGCAATCTCGGCCAACCTCTCATTTTCTCTTCCGTCGACCATGTTTCCTCACATCTTTTCGCACCGCATTCGTGTTTAACTTGGTTTTGCGCTCACGCAGATGCAGTGATGCGTTGTCCAACAGCCATTATCCCTTCCTCTCATAGGTTAATGCTAGGTGATAGGATGCGGACCAGGTCTTATCTCCACCCTGACCCATCCTAAATCAGGGAAGTTAACCAGTCGCTCGTCGCGTTGGCCCATCCTTTCTCTGCTGATCCTTGCAATAGTCCTACACACCGGTTTCTGCACTCTGAAATCACAAACGCCAACTCACTCCTGCGACCAGACAATGGCCGCGTTTTGCGGCAGTTACATGGATAGTGGAACCCTGTCGTGGTAACAGGTCAGGCTTCTATGACAATAAAACCCGCAGGATCCCTCGTTGCCCAATCTCTCTCTTCTGCTCCTCAATTTTCCTGCCCAACTCTCGCCTCTTACTACCCAACCAAGCACTCCGTCTCATCCTTCATAGACTACCAAGCCTTTCTTACCCTTCTTTCTCATACACAACTATCAAAGTTTTCAATCTTCCACCTGGAATTGAAAGCAACCCAATCAGCCCAAGGATCCATCCTGTCGCGCAACAACACCAACAACTCGACAGATTGCCACTGGTCTCAACGTGCAAGACAACGTCCTAACGTTGTTTGCTGATCCACGAGCTCAATTTTGCTCTCCATTCCGAGGATACAATGACCGTTACACTGGTGACACAGCCTGCTACTATGCACGCGTTCAAGAACTCTGACCTCGATGAGGTTCACTCGTTGTCCAGGTACTGTTTTTCTTACTCTTCCCTGGGAGGTTCGCGTTTGTTTTTCAATCATGTTGCTCGCAAATCATGTACACCGACAATCTTGCTTCACTCTGTCCAAGGATACCAAACCAGGAAACTCTATTCAACTCTCGACCCAAGGACATTTCCCGGAACATCTTTTTCTGGATCTCAAAGGACCTTGATATACCCATGGATGATGACGACAACAAGCCTGGACTCACATTGACTGGATCTGTCCGCCCGGACATGAAACAATATTATTATACACTGGCCGTGAGCCTCGTGAGTATTGCCCGCTTTCAAATTGAATCAGCAGCTCTTCGACCGGAGAACAAACCTGGACTATTCATGAACCACAAGGATTTCTCCGGATATTAGGAGTCGACCCAAGGACAATATGGACCTTTTCCTCTGATCCCGTTTCTGGATATGGACCTTTCATATGCGGATGGTATTTCGACAGGACATCACACGACCTACTGAATTTCGCCTGGACTCTGCTCCTTCTGTACCGCTTAGCGGTGTTAGACATCAAGGTAGCATCTGGCTTAATGGCCTGCAATCCAATTTGATTGCTTCTTCGTGCAGCCGCACTGGACTTACATTCATGGACACCAATAATGCTTTCTACTGGACGTTCTTTCTGCTGGACCACAATGGATACCGAGGATCTCATTGTTCTGCTCAATCGACACTGGAATTCCAACATCGACAATACATGATGCTATACCAACTTGTTTTTCTGCGAATACTTAGATTGAAGGCCTGGACTTTACGACAACACGTTAAACACTCTCAACATGCCACTGGAACACTGCCGGATTCGATGTGATTTGATTACTGTATTGACGACCTTGCCCTGGCTACAACAATAATCCATGGATCACCCAAAGGATCTCGACAGAACGCAAGATCTAATCCTAGGTTATGCTTCACACTGTCATACTTGGTCTGTAAACTAATACCACGTCAACCTCGTCTCGAATGCTAACCTAGTAACAGATTCAAAGTTGATTCCGAGTCATGACTTCAGTCTTGTTGTTTCATTTTTGCTTTTATTTGCTTTCACATTGCGAAGAACGGGACACTGACCCTTCCCCAGCGATTATAGCTACTCTCAGCCAACATTGGCCCCCAACACTGGACTCTTTTCTTTTTCTTCTCAAACAGAACCATCAGCGGACCTGTTGACAGGTTCGTCATGGGCCACGACAGTAGAAGGACCACAGAACTTTCAAGATTTCTCAGACAACGGATCCGCCCATTCCGGAGAAGCCGAGGAGTTCATTTTCACATCTGGCCATGCTACGCCCCGAGGAACCAGGGTGCCTTCCCAAGGAAACTGGTCCACATCCAGGACTACCGCTTCTGTGACCCAAGGTGGACAAGCCATGTCCAGGGTGAGCTCAAGCAGGTCTAGCGGCTCTTCGCTGTCACAATCATCACATCTGTCCAACATGGACTTCACAGGTAATGCTTCCGCTCTTCAGACTGGAACCCAGACCGGTGCTACCCTGCATGGAATTGATACTTGCCTCCTGGACCCTACCGATGGTATCACGAACCAGATGTACTGGCCCGGCTACTCCCTTGACGGTGGATTGAACGGTGATGCCACCTTTTCTCTTCCCGATGCCAACCCTCTGCATGTTGTTCCCTCTCACATGCAGCTCGGCCCTGATGTTTCCCTGGTCGAGAACTCTCCTCCCAGCCCTTGGGACTGCTTCTCTAGCTCTATCTCTCGATCATCTTCTCCCAACACTATTGAGGATTTGTGGTTCCCTAACCAGAGCCCAAACTCATCTCCTGAGATTCAGTGCCAGTCACCAAGGTACGTAGCCCCTAACCGCATAGTTACCCCTGATCCGGTTTCTTACCAAGTCGACTGTTCTAGCCTGGACCGGAATATCCCTGTGATCTCTGAAGATGCCAACGGAAAATCCATGCCCACATTCGACGAGCTTCCTGCTGCCACCTCTGCCTTCACTGGTCCACGACGACAAAACAGCGATGGTGAGTCCGCTCGGGACCATGACCTATACAAGAAGGCCGCTCCATACGAGGATGGACTTTACCACTGCCCATGGGAAGGACAACCAAGCTGCAACCACCGACCCGAGAAACTCAAGTGCAACTACGAGTAAGAAATCAGAAGCTCAACTACTGGGATAATGTATACTGACTGAGCTAGCAAATTCGTGGACTCTCACTTGAAACCCTACCGCTGCAAGGCTGAGTCGTGCGAGGGCGCCCGCTTCTCGTCGACTGCGTGCCTCCTCCGCCATGAACGTGAGGCCCACGGACTCCATGGTCATGGCGACAAGCCTTTCCTTTGTGTTTATGAGGGCTGTGAGCGTGCCGTTCCTGGAAATGGATTCCCTCGCCAGTGGAACTTGCGTGACCACATGAAACGTGTTCACAACGACCACGGAAGCTCCAGCGGCTCACCTACGAGTGGATCTGCTCAGCCTGCCAAGGGACGTAAGCGCAAGACTGAGACTGCCGAGGCTCAGACTACCCACAGCCGCAAGGCGACTGTCAAGTCAATGCCTCCTCCCCCGGAGCCCAAGGAGAACATGACCCAGCCCCTTATTGATCAGTGGATGGAGCACCGCAAGGCTGTGGAGAGCCTCATGCGAAACCTTATCAAGCCTGAGGACACACAGAACCTCCAGCACATCGGAACTCTCCAGAACCGCCTGAGTTCCATGGTGAAGCTCACCAACGACCTCAATGCCATCAACAACCCAGGGAACACTCTGGTTGGCACTGGCTGAATGATTTGTAAGTGGTTGTCTGGACGTATATGCCTGGGTCAAACTAACCATCTTTCAGACATGCGAGTCTTGTCTGCTACCGAAAACAAACCAAAATTGATTTGTGCAAGTGCACAGGCAGAGAAAAGAAGTCCGTCTAATATAGAGACAAATTCTGAATCTCGAAGACGTCCCAAGGACCGGGCAATGATGCCACAGATCTACGGCAGAAGGACATGTCCAGCCGAGTAGACTCTTTCCTAGGAACGAATGCACTGCATTATCACCGGAATTCATCATGCCAAGGATAAGGACCACGGATGTCAACCCAAGGATTGCGCTATCGCTGCGCCAGGATGATAACGGAGTCCCTGTTACGGGAGAAACACCAAGGACTTTAAGGTCGAGCCGAGAAGGAAAAGGGGGACGTCGCGAGAATAAAAACAAAAACACTGATCATTCTGACATGAGTTTGATACAGATTTCACAGAGAGCAAGTACAACAACAACAACAACAACAACAACAACAACAACAACAACAACAACAACAACAACAACAACAACAACAACAACAACAACAACAACAACAACAACAACAACAACAACAACAACAACAACAACAACAACAACAACAACAACAACAACAACAACAACAACAACAACAACAACAACAACAACAACAACAACAACAACAACAACAACAACAACAACAACAACAACAACAACAACAACAACAACAACAACAACAACAACAACAACAACAACAACAACAACAACAACAACAACAACAACAACAACAACAACAACAACAACAACAACAACAACAACAACAACAACAACAACAACAACAACAACAACAACAACAACAACAACAACAACAACAACAACAACAACAACAACAACAACAACAACAACAACAACAACAACAACAACAACAACAACAACAACAACAACAACAACAACAACAACAACAACAACAACAACAACAACAACAACAACAACAACAACAACAACAACAACAACAACAACAACAACAACAACAACAACAACAACAACAACAACAACAACAGATGGCCCTTGACAACAGGAAAGGGTAGCAGATTTAGACACTTTGTTTGGGAGGAATTTTGATATTGATAGCATCACTGCAGATAGGATTTGAGTTCAATCAAGTTTGTTTTTGAGAATAGTCTGGTAACATGCGGGTGTAACTGTAAACGCTTTTGAGAATGGCCTGACATGGTTATCGTGTATGGGTCGACAGTATTCATGGCCCGACTAAGTGACATTGTTAGATGGATTAGGGCCTTTTTCAGATCCATGTACATGCTTTCAAGGTCCTAGATTCATTGCAGATACATCGTAACCGTAGATGCGATGAAAGGGCGAGAAACAAGTCAAGATCAGCGGTGAAACCTGTAGTTTTTCGGGAGAATCAGGGCCACGGTCTCCGGGACCAGATCGTGGGGATAGTGAATGCAGCTCGTTTGTTTGGGGGATCGCTTTCACCTCCACTGCCTCCGTGGTTGGAACTTACCTCACCTCACCGGAAGTGTAGAGATTATGCTTTATAGAGGTAAAAGTCGATTGATGACATGACAGCTGCGTTGAGTAGGTAGCTCCGAGATGTCGGCTCGGCCACGGTCTCGGTGGTTTCAGTAGCATCCAATCCATCTCGGAGTCTTGGTTGTGAGTGGGTGGTCCTTGAGCCTCCACTATGACGCTACTGCGTTGGATCAGCCAAAAAAGAGAACACGACATGGCAGAGAAACGTTTGGAAGTCTTTTGTTTTGGAGTGTATGTAGGGGCAGTGATTGACGGACAAGTGGATGAAGGAGAGAAACGGAAGGGCAGCGTATAATGAACGGTAATAAGCTCCGAGCTCTGCCGCAACTAAGAGAGGGCGTCAATGTGTTCTTGTAAGTGCTATCTGGGTGTTGAGCTCCGTTAGTATATACAGAGTGAAGATGAATGAACTGGCTATTCTCACCAGAAATACAAATATTATGGTGTCGCTATATTCAATTATCTCCCTAATAATCTGCCGAATCTAAAATTGAATCCATTGATCCATGTTCTGGTTGTCTGTCGATAATTCATGACCTGACTTGGCTTGGTCTGGCCTGAGCGGCCCAACTGAAGTACAACCTACCCACCATGAAACGTGGGCGTAGGTAGCTGAGCTAGGTAATATCCATTACTGAGGGACTATTTACATAAGGTACCTAGCTTTCCCCAACTCAACTCAACTCAAAAATACCACTTTCATTCTGCTTCATCTGCCTCAATTCTTTGCTCACCTAAATCTATCTCCTCTAAAACATCATTTCAAATTAATACTTTCATCATGGCTCGCAAGTTCTTCGTCGGCGGCAACTTCAAGATGTGAGTTTCTACCCCGCCATAGCAATCTGCTTCGCTCTGCTGTTCTCAGCTCGATCGCTTTTCTTGCTGCCCCTCCCCTCCGTGAAGCGAAAAGGCCGCAGATATTTCCTGGAGTTGCTCAGAAGCTAACCTTTGTAGGAACGGCTCCAAGTCGTCCATCAAGGAGATTGTCGATAACCTCAACAACGCTGATCTCGACAAGAACGCTGGTTCGTCATTCTTCTGTTCCTCTGCCCTGCCCTGCCCTGCCCTGCCCTGCCCTGCCCTGCCCTGCCCCGCGCATCATCCCAGTTTCTCAACAGAACCCCTCACTCGTTTTACTAGAGCGACATGGACTAACACGCTCTCAGAGGTTGTTGTTTCTCCTCCCGCCCTCTACCTCCCTCTCGTCCGTGAGACCCTGCGCAAGGACATCGAGGTCGCCGCCCAGAACGTCTTCAACAAGCCCAACGGTGCCTTCACCGGCGAGATCTCCGTCTCCCAGCTCAAGGACAGCGACATCAACTGGGTCATCCTCGGCCACTCTGAGCGTCGTGAGATTCTCGGCGAGTCTGACGAGACCATCTCCTCCAAGACCAAGTACGCCACTGAGAACGGCCTCAAGGTCATCTGGTGCTGCGGCGAGACCCTCGAGACCCGTGAGGCCGGCAAGACCATCGACTTTGTCTCTAAGCAGCTCGAGTCCCTCAAGTCCCAGATCTCCGACTGGTCCAACATTGTCATCGCCTACGAGCCCATCTGGGCTATCGGCACTGGCAAGGTTGCTACCACTGAGCAGGCTCAGGAGGTCCACAAGGCTATCCGTGACCTTCTCCGTGGTATCAGCGACAAGGTTGCTGACGAGACCCGAATCCTCTACGGCGGCAGTGTCAACGAGAAGAACTGCGGCGAGCTCTCCAAGCAGCCCGACATTGACGGTTTCCTCGTTGGCGGTGCTTCTCTTAAGCCTGCTTGTAAGTCCTCCTCACATGCTTTAATAGTACTGTGCTGACTGATTCTTCTAGTCGTCGACATCATCAACGCTACCAAGCAGTAAATACATAAATCCAAAAGTAAAAAGTCTTGTTCCATTGAGGTCTTTGATACCTTGACAAAGGAGCAGATAGATAGATGATGAATGAAACAAAAATGATTATACCCATGAATAATTTGGTCATGATTCTATTATGTGACCAAGACTTTCCTCGAATGATTCTGTAGCTTTTCACTATCACAAGAAACGGAAAAAGAATTTTGCTGGAGCATAGATGTTCAGCCAGCGGTGAAGACGAGAAGCAGTTGTCATTCATGCCCCTAACCTCATGGAGATCTTGCTATAAATCGTACAAATTTCCTCGCAACCCAATGCTACAAGCAGCCCCAATATTGTTTACAAAACACCTAAATGTACAGAAACCCCAATTTTAGAAGCCAGCTCTTAAACAACCATTCCCTTGCCGTGGTATGGGGACCAGACGCCACGCACACTTGGTTGAGCGCTGTTGACGGCTTTGTTGTAACGTTTCAACTTCTCTCCGCTAGCATCACGCAGTAACTCGGCCTTCTGAAGGATCTCGTATGGTGATAGGTTTCGTACGCAAATGGGCTTAGTTCGACCATTGATGTAGTGACCGACAACGACGGGGTGCTTTCCGGGTCGAGGGGAGATGGAGAATTCGACTTGAGGGTTGGCGGCGGCGAACTTGGGGAGAAGAGACTTGATGAAGCCACTGTAATCAGGTCAACCAATGTTGAGGAGACCAGGAGGATGTTTGGATTGTTTCACATACTTCATACCCTTGGAACTACCAGCCCAGTCACAGTAGTAGAAGTCTAACTTCTTGCACTGGAGGATAAATGCGCCGAGGCCATTCTGCAAAGGTCAGTACTTGTGCCTCCAAGACATCGTCGAATTGAACATACTTGGCCCTTTGCTATTTGTCCTATCGCCTTAACAGTCATGCTTGTGTGGCCGTATCAAGTACAAAATTGATCCGATAACAGCTAGAAAGAATTGACGTGCTGAGAGGCTATCACCAGAAAATCAGCTCTCAGTGGAGTGTGTCCTATTTGGGTTTAGTACGCGTCGGCAGAATATCGGCTAGCAGAATGCCTGAGCCGCTGCAAGGCATCCCTCGAGTCCAAAGCAGGCTCAAAGGATTAATTTCCCCCACGAACGAACGCGCGACAACTTCAATCAAATTCCGCCCAGTCTCGGCTTTTCTGTCTGTCCTTCATCGCAAACTCACGCTCGCCTATTCATTCTCGGTTAATAACTTCATTTATCGCTCCCTTCACCCCGTTCGATTCGAAATAGTGCAATGACCGACAAACTTCCCCCTAACCTGCTCGCGCTCTTCGCAGCGCGACCACCTCTGCGATACATCGATCCGCCCGACCATGCGCCTCAGCATCGCAGGACAGCACCCATCACCGGTGTTGCACAGTTTCTCCCCGAGCTTCAGAAGTACAAGGAGACTGATGTTTATAACCCCACTGAGAGTTGGCTGGAAGCCCGCGATCGCAAGAAGCGAGAGAAGAGGGAGAAACTGGAGACGGTCCTCAGAGAAGCGCCTGATCATCGTCAGGAGACCCGAATATTCCACCACAAAACAAGCACTAACTTGGTTAACAGATAAGCCAAACGAAGACCCCAATGTTCGTGGCGATGCGTTCAAGACTTTGATGGTCGCACGTCTTAGTTACGACGCTGATGAAAGGGATCTCGAGAAGGAATTTGGCCGCTACGGTCCTATCGAGCGTGTATGCAATCGTTATCAAAACATCGCATAGCCAGTGACTGACACCACCGCAGATTCGTATTGTTGTCGATACTCACGCTCATGAGAAGCCAAACAAGAAGAAGAAGCCCCATCGCGGCTATGCTTTCGTCGTATTCGAACGAGAGAAAGATATGCGAGGTAAATATGAACCCCTCCCCGTCTGACTAGCCATTTGTATTCTTCCCTGGATGTATCTTTTGAGTTGTGGCCCTCAAGCTTGCCCTTCTCACGGAGTATATGCGAGACACCAAAGGGCCCTCAAGCTTGCCCGTCTCTGCTTCTTCCTTTTCTTTTCTTTTGTCATATCCGTCAGCACACAAGGTACTATTTAGGGTAAGATTGACTGACACCTGCGCCATTCGGCGCAACCATGAGCAGCGGCTTTAGATGCCTGTGATGGTATGCGCATCAAGGATCGACGTATCAAGGTAGACGTTGAACGCGGCAGAACTGTCAAAGGCTGGAAACCTCGCCGACTCGGCGGTGGCCTCGGAGGACGAGGCTATACCAGAGCTATGGCTGCTCGCCCCATGGGTCCCGGTGGCTTTAGCGGCGGTGGCGGTTTCCGTGGTGGTTTCAAGGGTTTCGACGGAGGACGCGGCCGTGGAGGTTTTAGAGGAGGGTTCGGCGGCCGTGGAGGAGGATTCCGAAGCGGCGACAGGGGAGGCGATCGAGGTGGTTATAGCGCACCTAGTGATGCCCCGTCCGGCCCTGGATTCGACCGCAGAAACGGCGGCGGCGGCTTTGGTGACCGGGACCGTGGCGACCGAAGGGGTGGTGACCGAGGCCCCGGTGGGTATGATTCTCGTGGCGGCGGTCGCTCATTTGACGACAGACACGGCGGCGGCCATCGTGACGGTGGCCGATACGGCGGAGAACGCGAGAACCGACGCACCGGTAGCAACATGGAACCCATCGGAGGCCGACGAGAAGGTGGGTATCGCGAACAACGGGACCGAGACTATGACAGACCCCGTGATGACGATAGTGGTCGAAAGCGTGGCTATGACGGCGGCTATGAGGATCCTCGAAAGCTTCGTCGTTATTAATGGAGTAATTCTCCATGACCTTGTGTGGTGGGTTGCCGATCTTCTTTCAGTCATTAATCCAGACCTCTTTTCCACGAAAGGAAGGGTAAGCACACCATTATCGCCAAACCTCGGATCTCGAGTATTCCCGATTATACTATACGCTTCTGTCCGATAACGCTCGTCGGATTTCACTTTCTTGCTGTCATCATTTAACCAGCCGACAAGACACTCAACTTGGTTTGAGTTATCATCCTCCGGTACATCCATATGGACTCAGGTTTACGCAACGTGTCAGGTAACCTTTCTATGTATTCTATTTGCTTTTTTGGGAGTCGGGGTAAAATTTGGAGGATAGGTCGATGGTGAACTGGCCACTTTATGCTGCATAAGGGTAAGACTCGGTGACCTACTCCGTACTGACCCTCGAGATGTTGCCTAGGCTGGCTAAGAAGGCCGACTCTGATGTATCACTTAGGAGTTTTCATGTTCAATAACAGTTAAGAAAATAAGCGAATTTTGTGAATGTTGTGAAGTACATATTGTCATTCGGGGGGGCCTATTGGTAAAACATGATGCCCTTCCATATCCCATGGCCCTCAACGCCGAGATCCCATAAAAATTTCATGCTGGTATCAGTCATTCAAACAGAAGTTGTTAAACCCAACGTCTAGCACCATTTTCTAAGCCTTATCCTAGACTCATCTAATTCTCATCCATAGCGTTGGGGTTAATCTCTGTCACCTCAGAGCTAGCAGCGTTCCAGTATCTAGGCCATGTTAGTTTTTTTTGTTCTTGTGCCGAGTTGATACCTCAGAGGAGCTTCAACTTACGCTAACACCTTGACCTTGAATTCACTCAAGCACACGTCGAAAAGCTTAAGCAATCTTGTCTGTCGTGAATCCAAAACATCACCCTCCTTGCAAACAACATACTCCTCGCCCTGGCCAGCCTCATCACCGAGAACAACACGGCCCTTGACCATACGGGTAGGGACACCAAGACGTCGCAGCTCCGGCTCGATGGTGTGCTCGAGAGGAACATCGTGCTCGGCGGGAACCTCACCAGCGGTAGCATAGACAACGCCGGTAGGAATAGAGAAATCCCGGGTGGCCACAGCGCCGGCGCGGGCAAAGTCGACAGGAGCGAGGTTCTCAAAGTAAGAGAGGATTTCTTCGACAGGGCGGTTGGTCAAGATCAGGCCGACGGTACCAGTCAAATAACGGCTGAGTCCCTCAATTCCAGGGGCGATTGCCTCCTCGGGTGTCTGGCCAAGAGCCTTTGCCATAAGCTTTGTCTTTCCGAAGAAGAGACTATAGAGAATTAGTTGCGATCAGGAGGCTTACACAGAGAGGCATTACCGGCAATCGGACAGCTCACGTCGAACATCCTTGAGGTGGTTGTTTCGCATGTTGTCGACGCTGAAGACAAAGCAGTTCTGGTACTCGGGGACAGTATCGCGAATGTTCTGGAAAAGCTTGTCCTTGTCCTCGCGCGTCTTCTTAGAGACCTGTGTGAGGTGGACGACCTTTGCGCGCTTCGACTTGGGCATTTTGGCGGTATTATTTGTTGATATAAGGGTTCAAAAGGAACTCGAAAAGTGGTGAGGTCGAAGGAGGATTGAGAATCGAAAGTTTTGGTTGGTGGTTATGGTCTGAATGGGACTTGAGATCTCAATGCCTGCTACAGAAGGCGGCTGTCCACCGGATTTTTTTGCTTTCTGCGATAAAAATTTCGAATGGGCGAGCTATCTTATCAGTTGACCCCGCAACTTTTGCTCACCGTGGCAGGGGTCCAATCACTCACCTAGGGTGTACTAATCCGGTAATGTCTGTCAAGATCAATATAATACATTGAAGTAGGTCAAGGCCAAGTAATTGATTCAGCTTCTTTGTTTGCCAGTTTCCTGTCTTTGACTAATTCGAAAACATAAATTCTCAAGGAGCAAGATAGATTACCTTACCCAATCCAAGATACTGACTGGATGGGCTATGTTGAAGGGACTGTATCAACGTGATGAGATGTAGTATAAAGCAGGCAACGGACACTGTTGCCTCTTAATGTGGTTATAGCCATCTTCTTTAAAGCACTACCTTATAAGATGGCAGTAAACTCTCACTTGGGGTTAGTTGTTCGACTGAATACAGATGTTATATGTAGCTGGGCTAAGGAAATGAACTATAGTAAGGTAGTTGTAATCTTGAACCTGTCTATATTCAATTGACGGTCGTTGGTTGATACGCATAAGTAAGGTAGCGAATAGTCAGGATGAGGCTATCGCCAAAAAGCAAAGTGATGTGAGTTGCCATGGAGCCGTTTAACGTTAGATACCACACCAATTATCTTCGAGTCTGCAATGCCGCAATGACAGGGTTGTATGCTAGAACGCTACATAATGGTGACATAAAGATCCCTGAAAAACTAGCGATATGGGTGAGATATCCCGAAAAGTTTAGGTGAGTTTAATCTGACTTGGTACTGCAAGCGTTTAGGATACCTTAGTATTGGGTTAACATAAGAATTCATTCTTTTGTAGCTGATGCTTCCGGTCGAGTCTCGTCGAGACTTGGCGTCTTTCGGGAAAACTATTACACACTTCCCGTTCCGAAGACAGACGGGAATCGTGAAAAAGAGGGAAGGAGAACAAGACAGATGACGCACAGACCACCTTCTAGTTGGAGCAGCCGGGAGCTCTGAAGGCGTTTTCTTACTGGAGCCACACAAACACATCACACATTGTCCAAACATCTCTTTCATCCCAATTGCAGAGCCCCGTAAACAACTCGACTCCTCCCTCTCCCTCTCTCTCCCTCTCGGTTTCTAGCTAATTGAAGCTCTACCTCTCTCCACTATCTTTCCATTTCTCACCTCGCAAGTCCCGTAACTCTCGATCTTTTCTCCGATCCCGAAGTTTGACCTTGCCACCCCTCACGTCCTTGCCTTCCAACCACGAACCCTCGACTCCATTTTGTCATCAGGCTTGCCCTATTCTGCTTGCTTGCTTCGACTCGATTCAACCAAACTCCAGCCCCATCACTTCAATCTCGACCGAACACGATCCTCGTCTTGAGCCTGAACCCGTAATATCAGGCTCTGTTTCTTCGACGTTTTCACACCCTCGTTCGACCCGTTTCCGCGACACTGAGAGCTCGCCGGTTGCGCACCCAGCCCAATTTTCGCTCCGAACCACACTCGTCATATCAAACTTCACACCACAACACACAGCCATCATGGCCTCCAACGGTAACTTCACCCAACAGGATCAGTACAAGGAACCTGCCGACCAACAACAAACAGCTCCTACTACCTCTGCTGCCGATGGCTCTGCCACCGCTGCCGCTTCTGCCACCAACAACCCATCCAAGGATGAGGTTGGCTGGTATTTCGTGGAACAGTTCTACACCACCCTGAGCAAGTCGCCCGAGAAGCTTCACGTATGTAAACTCCGTTGCCGGTGTGCTTTCTTCATACTAACGACCTTGATAGCTTTTCTACGGCAAGCGCTCGCAATTCGTCTATGGTCGCGAAGCTGAGGTTGCCAAGGTCTCTGTTGGCCGACAGGTAAGTTGAGATGAAAAAGGAACACCTGGATTGGTGACTAACAGTATAACAGGACATTCAAGAACGCATCAGGAACCTAGACTTCCACGACTGCAAGGTCAGGATATCCAATGTTGACTCCCAGGCTTCCTTTGAGAACATCGTCATCCAAGTGATTGGCGAGACTTGCAACAACAACAAAGCACCCAAGAAGTTCGTCCAGACCTTTGTCCTTGCCCAGCAACCCTCCGGCTACTTTGTCCTCAATGATATCCTGCGATATATCGATGACGAGAGCGATGATGAGTCTGCTGCTGCCTCTGAGGAGGCTGCCGAGGAGCCTGCTGCTCCCGCTACGGAGGAACCTGCTGCCGCTGTCAAGCCCGAGGCTCCTCAGTCTGTCGAGGAAATCAAGGAGGAGGCCCCTGCTCTCGATCCCGAGGTTGTTGATCAGAAGCTCGAGGAGGTTTCCACTTCTAAGGACAGTGTGTCTCTCAACGGCAACACCCTCGAGGAGTCTGAGGCTAAGGACCCTGAGACGAAGCCCGATGAGCCCGCCGAGACCGCGGATGAGGCTGCTAAGGAGCTTGCCGAGGAAGACGTGAAGGAGCCCGAGAAGCCTAAGGATCCTAGCCCTACACCCGTTTCCAAGCCTGTCGCTCCTCCTCCTGCAGCCCCCGAGAAGCCTGCTGCTCCTCCTAAGCCCATGACATGGGCCAGCCGAGCTGCCGCTGCCCTTCCTAAGCCTGTTGTTCCTCTCCCCAAGACTACTACTCCTCCCGTGAACCAGAGCCGTGCTCCCGCTCCTTCTGCTGCCGCTACTTCTCAACCCGCTGCTGCTCCTGCTGCCACATCTGCCGCGCCCGCCACTGAGTCCGCTGGTAAGGATGCGGCTGGATGGCAGACTGCAGGTAGTGACTCTAAGCGACAGAACCGACCTCAGTCTGTTTCCGGACCTCCTGCTGATAAGGAAAGCACCACCGTATACGTTAAGTTCGTCACGGATAAGGTCCAGGATGCAGACCTCAGGAACGCTTTGACTGCTTTTGGCGAGTTGAAGAGCCTTGATATCATCCGCCAGAAGGTAAGTTCAGATCCCTCTACTACGACACTGTCGTTAAAGCTAACATGGCATAGAACTGTGCATTCGTCGAGTTCAAGACCCCTGAAGCCTCCAAGGCTGCGGTTGCTGCCAACCCTCACACCATTAACGGCGAGAACATCATGATCGAGTCCCGTCGCAACAAGCCCGGTGCCAATAATGCTGGTGGCCGAGGCCCCGTTTCAGGACGTGGCCGTGGTGGTGCTGAGGGCGGACGATCTGGTGGCCAGGGCCCCCGAGGCAACTTCTCTGGTCAAAACCGTGGCCGTGGTGGCGCTCCCCGCGGCCGTGGTGGTGCCCAGTCTCATAATGCTTAAGCAATGGCGACTGTTATATATAAAGTGGCCAGGATCAGACTTCGAAACCAGTAGTCAGTCTT